AGTGAATGACAGCTGAAGCGGAGTGAAGTCTTTAAGAAATCTTAGTGTATTTTGTGTGTTTTTGTATACCATGTTTTTAATCACTAATCCAATCAAGTTAACCATGCTACAGATATTTTGTATTCCTGTCTTAACAACTAAAAATAAAAGAGGCAAGGCTAGGCTTGAACCGGCCAACTTACGACTTGAATGCACACCAGTTCCTGCATGCGAAAACACCAGATATCAAGCAACACCTGAACTTTTGCATCCAAAATTAATTTCTTCAAAACATGTAAATTATTGTCTAGAACTGTAATGGAACAATTATTTTGAGAACATCTTGGGAAAAACAAAATGCAGATAATCAAGGATCATGGATAACACAGGTGCAGTTAATCAAGGCACTAGTGTAGCCTCATTTCCTAATACAAACAGTCATGAAGTTAGGTTAGGCACATCTGGCTCTTAAGTTTTTGGACTGGCTCCTAGATCTAAAAATATTTACCAAGGCCTGGTCTAAAGAGGTTATATTTCATTGTACTTGTCACTGGTTAGGCTTCATTTGTAGTAATGTTTTCAGTCCTAGACTCCTTACTTTAGGAAGGGCATTGAATTGTTACAAGTGGTTCAGAGAAAGGCCACTAGGATGTTACCTGGAATGGAAAAGTTGTCATACAAGGACAGGTGAAGATCTCTGAAACTGCTTTCTCTTGAAAAAAAAAAAGAATCAGAGGGAATCTGATTGAGGTGTTTAAGATTGTTGGTAGAACTGATAGTGTCAATGCATCATCTTTTTTTTTTTGTACTTTATGGGAAAAATAGTAGGAGTATGGGATACAAAAATAAATTTTGTCAGGGAACTAGTAATCTTCAGATACATGTAAAAATTTTATTTTTCTAATAGGGTGGTTGGCCGACAGAGCCAGAAGGAATGGATCAACATAGAAAGGACAGGATAAGCAAAGACCCTACAGAAGCGTGAAAAACTGAATGTATGGAATAACGCCATCCTAAACCCCAAAATCGAGGAGACCAAAAAACCCCTCTCAATAAGCCACGTGAGAAACTCTGAACCAATTCTCCATTGGCATTGATAGATAGCCAAAGAAGAGCAAATGGAACAGGCTAAATGTGAAACTACTCTGCAAGAGAAACTGGAACTCCTTGACAAAAGCCAGGCATGAAAACGGAGGACAGACAGCTCGGGATGGAGTGCTGGTGACTGGAGTTCACAGAGCAGGTCGAGACAGAAGGGAAGAGACCACTTGTAGTTGGAGAAACCAAGGTTGAGCAGGCCAGTAAGAAGCAATCAGAAAGACCGTGCATGCCGTGGCATGGATGAGAGAGACAACCTGAAGAGGTAAATGGATGGGAGGGTAAACATAAAGGAACAGATAACACCAATCCTGGCTGAAGGCATTGGCAGCCAAAGCTTGAGAAAGGGGGACCAAAACTGAGGTAATCTGTGATTGAGAACAGTGGCAAAGGCATCAATCTGAACCTGGTGCCACCTTGATGATTGTTGGAATGGATCATAACCAGCAGGCAGTTGGCAAGAGAAAGACATTGATATATCCAAAGCCCGACTACCAGCCAGGAGTTTGAAAAGAGAACTCTCACCCACAAACCAATGACTTGAAACCTCCTGGTGATCCACTCAAGCACCTCAGCCCTGAAGGGATGCATCTGTGAACAAATGTAAATCTGGCTGTGGAGGAGGAAGCGGGACCCCTGCCAATGTGTGGGCTCTGTTCAACTACCAATGTAGATCATCTACAAGGGATGAGGGAAGGGATATAGAAGTATCCAAGTATGTGGGTTATCATAATTTGAATTATAAGTATCACATGGATGGGAATAACATTAACAGTGTTATGAAAGAAAGGGATTTTGGTGTAGTGATAGATCAGTCTCTTAAGCCATCCAAGCAGTATGCTGTTGCTAGTAGTAGAGCAAATATGATTTTAGGTTGTATTTACAAAAATATTGAATACAAGTTTAAGGAGGTTATAATTTCATTGTGTAGGTCACTGATTAGGCCACATTTGGAATACTGTGTTCAGTCTTAGGCTCCTTACCTTAGGAAAGACACTGAATTGTTGGAAAAGGTTCAGAAAAATGCTACTAGAATAGTGCCTAGGGTGGAAGGGTTGTCATACAAGGAGAGGTTAAGATCTCTGAAATTGTCTTCTCTTGTAAAAAGAAGAGTTAGATGGGTTCTGATCGAGGTGATTAAGATTGTTAAGGGAACTAATGGTGTTGATGCAACATCCTTTTCCATACTTAATGGTGAGGATGATACGACAAGGAGACACAAATATTAATTTTGGTATAGTAGTAGTCATCTTCAGCTAAGTTATATTTTTATAACAGGGTGGTTGACCTTTGAAATGTGTTGCCTTTAGATGTTGTGGGGGCAGTAAATTTAAATAAGTTTAGGAGAAAGCTTGATAACTATATGAACGTTAAGGGCTGCCTTTAAGGTTTCTTTTTTTTTAAGTTTAGTTTAGAGGATGGGACAACCAAGATGGACCAACAGATCCCTTGTTGTCCCTAAACATTATGTTATGTATGTTATATTATTTAATGTTGTACAAAAAGACACTGATATAGGGGAGGGGTCAAAACATCACCTCAACCCTTCCACTATTTCTTCATAAATTAATGACTCTATTATTTAATGTTATATAAGAAGGCATAGATCTGGAAAGATCCAAACCCCTCCTTTTTTTTAGAAATTAATAATAAAAGAATACGAAGGTCAATTAAATGTTGCCATGGTAAATTTTCACAACTTAGTTTTTTCTAGACACTAACTAGTTGTTGTGTGTGTGTGTGTGTGTGTGTGTGTGTGTGTGTGCGCGCGATCTAGACTTTAGAGATTCATTTTCATTAAAGTTTGTATTGCTTAAGACATCTGCACCTCAATTCTGTAACAAGTGTATTAACATATACTTGTTACAAAATTGATTTTTCATTGTTTAAATTTCCTGAAAAATAAGAAGTGGGTTTACATTTTTACTTTTTTCTCAAGGGTGGGTGTAAGGAGCATCTTTAAAGAACCAAATGGTCCGATCCCTTGTTCTTCTACATTATACATACATAAAATACATTTATAAAAAATTAGCCTGATATACCAGAATGCCTGTACTACCCAATCTAAATGATCATGACTAGCATAAAAATAACATCCAATATTTCGTATATTTACATCTTTCAATGTAAAGACCACAGCATAAAAAACATGTGTAAATGAACAATGAACACTTGATTTTGTGGTGAGAAAAAACTCATCTTTTTATATTATTATTGTGGTGGTTCACCATGCATTCACTTTTGATATCTTTAACTTTCATTACAATAGGAAATTAATGTTAAACCCTATCACTACATCTGCACATTAAACATTTTTTGTCTCCTTAACCTTTGCATTATTACAAAGTAAGAAATAATAGTACCTATTATAATAATACAGTTACGTCTCTAGTCGTTAGTTAATTTCCTGTATTATTTCTTTCCGATGAAACTTTAGCGACACAAGTCCTTTCTTAAATAAAACTAGTTTATTCTTTCTCAATAAAAACTTTGAAATTCACTTAATTTCCACAGTCACGCTATAACAAACGCTATAATTCACAACGAACGACACACACGCTCGACCCAACTGTCCATCTCTATCTCTGTCTGCAATTCAACTGCCTTGTTGCCATCACTTCTTGGCGGTCTTATATACAAGAATACCGAAAATCTAGTAAACACTCGAGGCTTCATGAAGGGACATGAATTTTCTAGAAGCTCATGACGTGTTACTAGCGTCACGTGTCTTCCGCTGTCGTAACAATATCTTTGAGCACAAATTGACTTAAACAGATCAATTCAGTCTTGATTTACAAACTAAGTAATGTTGTAAGTTAGGTATTCTTGCTAATTTCCTACTTTGCATAGTTAACTGCATAAATATGAATATTTTGTGGTAATTAAAGTTGTAGGCCCACTGGTAATGCCTTTAGGTATCCAAAATTATCCACTTCAGTTTACATGTCTTTAGGCTTTTATTTTATCACCTCATATAGCAAGGGTTATTGGTCTATGTCACATATTAAGTACGTGTCATACCTGGAGTAAGACGATTTACCCCAAAAACATCCTAAAAAAGTAATTCTTAAGTAAGCATGACAATTTTGGGTAAAATTGCAGTTTAGCAGCATATATCCCATTTTTTTAAATCAAGGTCAAAAATCACTGCTCAACTGAAACTTATTGTTAAAAGTGTTATAAAAATTGCACTCAAGAGTTGAATGTACAATCACATACGATGTAGAACAAAAAAGATGGTAAAATTGTGCTTTTACAGGCAAAAATCCAGTATAGAAAATAGGCTGCTAAACTGCATACCCTCCCCCACAATAACACTGCACTGATAATGATTTATGCTTAACATGTGTAGACAAGCATATAAAAGCATTAGGCAAAGCCACCATTAATAAGGCATTCACTGCAACCCACATATGTGCTGCAAGGCAGCCAACATAGTTATTACAAACATAGGCCTATGGGAATATATATTATATATATACTATAGATGCCACGGGTATTCAATTTTCTTAAACTAAAGTATTAAAAGCTTAAACCTATTTAAATAAACTTTCAATTATACTATTTAAAAAAGCTTTTTAGCTTATCAATATTATTTTGGTTAATCTATGGACTGAAATCGAAACTAAGTTTAACTTTAATTAATCTCAAGTGTAAGTATAACTTCTGTAAAAGTATAAGGTATAACTTATTAAAGATAAAAACTTGAACCTCAGTTTAACTTAAGACGTTAAGTGCAAATGTAACTGTGCAAGTTCACTCACATCTTCGTTGCTGTACTTTAAAATTAATAAGTACCTGTGTTAAAATGCACCGTATAACCTTGAAATAATACTAATAATACCAGTTTTCTTGAAAAATTTCTCACAAAACAATTATAAAATACCATGCGAAATTTCTAACGAAAGAAAATGTCAACATACTCGATTTCAGAAAGTATTTACAATACACCGGCAAATTACATGATCTGCTAGCTGCGCCCTTTAGTGTATTAAAATCGAACTATAAACTTTATATATGTTATCGTACTTAAAAGAGCAACTTTTAATAAATAAAAATTATGTTATGGTCCTCAAATTGATTAAAAATGACAAATAAAAGGAAGGAATCGATGTAAGTATCACAAACTGTATCGAGCTTAAAAACCTCGAAAACTGGATTTGCTGTAATTTCGTCGTAATTAGTTCACAAAACAATACATCAGTGATATCATCTGCTGTTATTCATTATACAATAGTAGTTTATAATGTAGCGGACAATTTACAACCAGTTCCAATAAAAAACAAACATTTCTAATTGGTGATGTTAAAGGTCGTTGTGTAAAGAAAAAAAACGAATTCAATGATTTTAAGTCACTAAAAGAATGCTTTGAAGAAGTAAAAATAGTTTGAAATCGCAAAGTAATGGTTGTATGGTGAAATCCTTTCGTCTGCTGAATCGGTGTTTTTAGTACTAGACCTACGAGTCATAAATGTAACAAAAATATTTATAAGAAGTGATAGACTGGTAGCAACTTTAAAAGGTGTGAGATGTGATGTTTTTTGGTTTAATTTTTAATCATTGGTGATTCTAATGGCAGATTTACTTGGGTGCCCAATGGGACAGCGGTAAGGCCACGGACTTGAAATGCTAAAATCCA